ATTATTCGACTTTAACAAAATATTGCAATAATAATCGTAAATATGAATGCTGGTCGTTATTTTAGGAAGTGAGTACAAATGAAAAAAAATTGAAATTGACAACTTTTTCCATTTCACTGAAATTTAAACGCTTCTATATATATGTCTTTCTTTCTTTCATTTATTATTCAGTAGTATATCGTAATTCTCCATGTATAATACGCATTTTTTTCCAAATAATAATAAGCAAAATCAGGGTTGCGTATTATGCGCAGCTACAAAAAGTTTTTAAAAAATTACCGTAAAATAAAATAAGAATTATCATGAAACTAAATTAGAATAATATTATTCTGTTTAAAACCATTTTAATTCATTTTACGCTGGCCGTAATGAAATTGGAGAGGTACAGTTTATAGGGTTTGATTACCAAACAAGGGGTGCGTATTATGCGTGAGTAGAAGCGTTTTCCCACACTTTCAGCAAAATTTTAGGTGTGTGTATTATGGATGAAGGTGTATTATACATAGGGAATTACGTTATTTCTCTCTCTTTCAACGCGATCGAAACGGAATAGTCCATTACTTATGAGGTATTGGCAGGGCGTAACGGTCATGCTAGCCAACGGAGGGCAAGACAAACACAATTACAATAGGATAATACTGCTAATAATAATTTTCTTATTTCTAAAATCTGCGTTGTCCACTACATATTTATGAATAATTATTCTTACAAGTCGCATACAATTGGTGAGGTCGGAATTTTTCTCGTTTCTTTTCCTTTACAATATTCTTCTCCCTGTACAAGGCCCAAGAGCCACCCAAGGGAGAAAGTTACAGATTAAGAAGCACAGTTTATGGGGATATGTAGAGGAAGATAACGGTTTATTATAGACTTGAACAGGTTAAGATTGTAATGATCGAGGAAGCGTCCTCCTGGGAATCGGTCCCACAAAGCAGCAGTATTACCAGTACCATTGGAACTCTGGGATGTTGAACAAAGAACATGGATAAAAACCTTGCATTTATTGGACTGAGATTTAGAAATAGTGACAAAAAGCATGCCCACCCGTAAGGGCAAGGGTAATTCTAAAAGTTTTACATACGAATTGTCGATGAAAAGAACAAATGACGTGTTTATTTTCTTTCGTTACGGGAGGTGATCTGAAAATGAACCAATAATAATAATAATAATAATAATAATAATAATAATAGTGCACTGAACCGATGTTTGCTAACTAGAAATTACTAAGCCCACATACTGAATAATTGTGTTAATACCAAATGCAGATTATGTGAAAAATATCCGGAAACAATTGACCATCTTGTATCAGGTTGCGTAGAAGAGGTGGACAAACTACGGCCCTCGGGCCACATCCGGCCAGTTGGTCTTTTTAATTTGGCCCGCCGACGATTGACAGAATTATGACTGCATTCATCTGACCTTGTCCTGTAATGGCTGGAATCCCACTAGGTGGCACATTCGTCTTATTTCCAAGCGCTACTTATGTGTGTGAACAGACTTTTAGTGTGATAAATACCAACAAATCACCCCACAGATTCCCAGTTGAGTGATGAACGCCTCAGATCTGTTCTGAGTCTTGCTACAACAACACTAACATCAGACTTCGATGCACCGGCAAAAAAGGATGATCAACAACAATGGTCCCACAAAAAGTGAATGTAAAAGTCAAGTGGGCCCTGAGCCAAAAAGTTTGCTCATCCCTGTTTGTACAGTGTTAGCACCCACTGAATATAAAACTCAGCATAATAGAGTGGGCTAATATCTGCAACTGGAAAATATGCAACTTTTACGGGAAGGAAACTGCAAGAAACTAGTATGAATATCACTCAGACCCGGTTACAGAGATAGGACCTGTAATAATTTTATGGGACTTTACAATATACACAGACAGAAGAATCAAAGTTAATCGCCCAGACATCACATGAACAGAATGTGCTTTCTTATTGACATGGCCCCCCTTCAAGTTTTAATGTATCTTTGAGATTTTCAAAAAACTATCAAAATAAAAGGATCTTGAAGTGGAAATCTAAAAAATGTGGCACATGAGGACATCAATACTTCCAGTTGTAATTGGAGCACTCGGATTGATTCGAAAAGGTTTTGATAGACTCATTGAAGGGATTCATGGTTGCCAATGCCTTAAAGAAATAAAAAAAAAATTATATTCACAAGTACAACACACACATTATAAAGAGCTTTGTCTTTGTAAAATATGTGTGATCTTATTTTTTGTTTGTTTGTTGTGTTTTACGGTATATCAACCTCAATGGATTATTTAATGCCGACAACGTTTTTTTCCGGTAATATTTTGTTTTGTCAAAATTATATTTCTGGTAAAATTTTTTTCCTCAAAAATGTATAGCTGGTAATATTTTAAACATGTATTGCTGGTAATATGTTTTTTTCAAAAACGTATTGCTGGTAATATTTTTTTCAAAAATATATTGCTGGTAATGTTTTTTCAAAAATATATTGTTGTTGATAGTTTTTTATTTCTTCAAAAATTTATTTCTGGTAATAAATTTTTACAAAGTATTTCTGGTATTAAAACCTATTTTTACACTTTTATAATGCTTTTTACCCCAGTTTCGGGGTTAACTATTTGCCCATAGATGGGACCCTAACAGATGCTACCACCCCGGGTCAGGGTGGACCTGGGAACACCAGCAATTAAAAGGTCATTCCACGCTCCTAAAAACCTCCTGAACAGAGTCCTTGCTATTGGACGTAGTATATCGGTTACTCAGGACGCGGATGTACTTTATCGTCATACTCATATTTTTTTTATTTAATAAAAAACGATCAGTAGAAGATGTCATTATGTCATTTTTTACCCTGGTTGGTACCCGGAAGGTAATATGTATACAACAGAAATCAAAATTTACTAAAATATTGCGTCAGCCCAAAATGCAGATTCTGTGATAAATATCCAGAAACGATTGATCACCTTGTATCAGGTTGCACGAAATTGGCACCCACTGAATATAAAACCCGGCATGACAGAGTGGGCCAATATCTGCACTTGAAAATCTACAACTTCTACAGGAAGGAAACTGAAAGAAAATGGTATGAACACCACACAGACCAGGTTACGGAGATAGGACCTGTTACAATTCTATGGGATTACACAATACACACTGACAGAACAATCAAAGCCAACCGGCCAGATATTGTTATTAAAGACCACAAACAAAAAAGTGCTTTCTTATTGATATGGCAGTCCCTGCTGACTGCAATGTATCTTTGAAGATCTTAAAAAAGTTGTCAAAATACAAGGACCTTGAAATAGAAATCTCGAAAATGTGGCATATGGGAACATCAACAATCCCTGTTGTAGTTGGAGCCCTAGGACTGGTTGGAAAAGATTCCAGTAGACTAATTGAAGGGATTCCTGGAAATCCATGCCTCAAGGAAATACAAAAAATTGTTCTGACAAGTACAGCCCACACTTTACGAAAGGCTTTATCTATGTAAATTTTTTTTTTTTTTTTTGTCAGTGGAAAGTGTCATGATGCCATCTCTAACCTTAGGTCCCTGGGCGAGACCCGGAAAGAAATGTGTAAACGCCAGAAATCAAAGAAAATAATAATAATAATAATAATAATAATAATAATAATAATAATAATACGACCATATTTACTTATAATCGCTTGGAAAGCAATCGTCGTTACACGTCTTTACAACAGCAGCCATGAATGGACTCTGAGAGACATTGTTGTACGTTAGGAAAGATCATCTTGAACGCAGAGCAGGCGAAAATACAGCGATATCAAAATCTGGCAGGAAAACCTGAGAAATATAAGCAGCACAAGCTCAAGTTGTTCCTTTTGTGGGTTGACGTACTGGGAATTACTCCAAGAATCTTTCTACAACGCAAGATGCCTTGACAATACATCATTCGCAGAGAGCTGATGACAGCGCTCCGTCTTACTACTCATGTAGTGTTGTGCCTCTAAGCATCAGAGAATAAGCGGGCTACCATCTGGACGAATAGTTATAGAAGATCTCAAATAATAATTTGGGAAGAACTAGCAAAGAAAGTAATTATAATATCAGTGATCGTTGCCGCACTGGGCTGTTTTATAAAAAACATGGACAAAACAGATTGCGATGGACAGATTATCGTTTAAATGACGCAAAAATGAAAATAACACTGACATCTCAATTTAACCGATCTATTTATCAAAATTACACAAAAATATCTAGAAATATTAAAAAGAGAAAATTTATTCAATAAAATCGCCATTGGCTTCAGCTACGGCTTCCACGCGATTTCGGAATCTCTTGCAACTCTTCTGAACGGTCTCCAAAATACTTGCTTTCATTTCATCTGAAGGAATTTTGTTGGTCTCTAGCTCAAATGCGCCCCACACATTATAACCAAGGGGATTGCAGTCTGGGGAGATAAGTGGTTAGATGTAAGGGGTGATGTTGTCGCAGAAATTGTCTGACAGTCATGACTGGGTTCTCCTACTTGTGTGACATTGCGAATAGTCCTGTTGCCAGACATAGGTCTTCAAGCAGCCACCCTCTTGACCCTGGACAGCACTACATCCTCAAGGCACTTGATGTAGGCCCACCCTAATGAGTCTGAGGCCCGGTGGGAATATGAATGAAGGCATAACATTACTATCACTAGTGATCACTCCAAATACTTTCATAATCACCATTAGACTCATCAAACACCTTCAGTCTTCAAATTGACACCCAAACACTCTGAAATGTTCGTATTGGAAAATTCGGTGCTAATGCCAAACAGTACAGCATGCCGTTTCCAAATTCCTGGCTGATTGAATTACTTCATGGTGCTCGTTTTCTCACAGGCGGTGCCCAACTGACCCAGTCAACAAAATCAAAAACAAACAACGCACATGCGCGAAGTAAGAATTATAAAATGGCGGCAATTTATCCATTGCACCCTGTTCTTGACTCTGCCCGAAACAAGAACGTTACTTTGGAAAGTGTTGGATGCAGTCTGTCAATAAAAAGAACAAATAGGCTTACGGCCATAGAGCGTTGAAACGCCGGATCCCGTACGATGACCGAAGTTAAGCAACGTCGATTCTGGTCAGTACCTAGATGGGGGACCGCTTGGGAATACCAGAAGCTGTAAGCTAGGGTGTGCGTTTGGTTTAATGGGTAATGACTCGGAATCGAGTTCCAATTTCAGTTTTGTTTGTTTCATTTTTTGACGCACAAGAACCCTTGGGAAAGGCATGAATTCACCTCTTCTCCTCCTAGCTATGGTTTAATTAGTCTGACTTGTATCTCCCAAAAAATCCTTACAATCTAAAATATTTTCTGGCTTTGAATAGCATGCAAAAGGTTGATAAACCGTAAAAAACCAAATCAAAAATAGAAAAGAACAAATGATAGGCGTATTTTTTAAGTTAGGAGAAGTGTGCTGAAAAGAAAGGATTTTTTTTTCCGAAGCCAACATCATGAACCAATTCGGAAGAAACAAAATAATAATGATGATGACGATGATAATGATCATGAGCAAGATTAACACGTCCCCCCCACCATTCATGCTGAAAACAACTGATGTGATCACGATTAACCTTCAGTAGATATTCTTTGTTTTGTTAATTTTAGACTAAACACTGCCGCTTAATTAAACACGAAAGAAACAAATTTAAGACATAAATAACTTGCTTTATCCTGATGCTTTAATTAAATTATTTTTGCGCAAAATATTTTTCCTTCTTCCTATGACAATAACAAGTGTTTTATCGGATCTAGTTAAACCAGACAAAAAGATGAGTGTGTATATGGGGGTCATATAAACCTAATCCGGATAATGTCATTAAATTTCAGAATTGATTTAAACATTTCGAAATGTCCACAAACACACACGATATTAGGCATTTTTAGTTTGAATGCCACTAATACACAGGGTGTTACAGGGAGTGAAAATGGGAGAAAAGACTGTGTATAGGGAGGATTGATGAACGGACAAAAGATGAACAGGATTCGAGAATACAGAAGATGATGATTGAAGCAAGTAAAGTGTTGTAACATACCTACGGACGATAATGGGTATGTCCCCATTCACATAAATACAGTAGTAAATACTGTATGTTAGTCTGCAGTTGGAGATTCAACTCCAGTCGAGGCTATGCCGAAGGGCAGAGTCTCATCTGGGGTGGTAGACAGCTACCCGACCACGTTTTTTACGGGGTCTACGGAGAAATTTTTGCCCGAGCCTAAGGGCTCGGAAACTCCACGTTAAAATTCGGCCTTGTACCGCATCTGACCGCGTGGTTGGCAAATATCCTGCAGTTGGAGATTCGTCTCCATCTGTGCTGGCCAAACTCTCTACCTCCGAGCAGAGAGTATCCCCAGACGAGGCTGGACTTGTCTGGGGAAACAGTTACCCGACCCCATTTTATTCGGGGTCTACGAGGAATTTTTGGCCGAGCATACGGGCTCAGATACCCCACATTAAATTCGGCCTTGTGCCACATCTGACTGCATAGGGCGGTTGGTAGATATCCTGCAGTTGGGGATTTATTGTGGAATTCACTTGACTTACTTCTAACAGTTGACTACTTCTTCCACGCGCCGCTGGCGAATCTTATATGTGTTGTTATTGTCCTAAGTATTATCGTTCATTACCAACCTTTGTATATATATATATATATATATATATATATATATATATATATATATATTACAACCTTTGTATATATATATATATATATATATATATATATATGTGTGTTCCATGTAGCTTGAGAAGTATGTATGTGTGTATGTATGTGTGTGTGTATGTACTGATTCCTTGTGGTCGGATGGTGTGTATGTGCGTATGTGTATGTATGTGTGTATGTGTACAAATGAGTTTACTAATTCCTCATAGTAAGACAGTGTATGTATGGAGGGGGAATATACGCACGCATATATACACGCATGCTGTGCAGAAACACACGAAAATGGCAACAGATCTAAGAACGCACAGGGGTCAGTAAGACACTAAAAGATAAAATGCCGATAAGTACTTCATCATTTCTCTTCGACCAACCATAATTGTTTTATGACCCTTCGCGCAGAACTCTTCATTGCCAATTCAAGAAAGAAATTCGGATTACTAACACAAAAACAGAGAATGTCTCATATCGAGAATATTTAACATTGAAAAACCTAAGGGAAAATTATTTTTAATAATATATGGAAATCTCCGCCTTTTACCTGAAGACGGTCGCGAGACCAGAAACCCGTGTAGTAAAATTATGGAAAATAAAGCATATTATTTTTTTCTAAAAAAACACTATACAACCCAAAAAGTTCGCGGAACTGTGTTCTGTTCTTTTTATATATATATATATATATATATATATATATATATATATATATATATATATATATATATATTAAAAATACTTTATTATTTATAAATTTCTCACGTTTGATATGTCCAGATTTTTGTTCTAAAAATATCCTTAATTTATTCATGAAATAGAATGTATTGTTTTTCTCGGAGAAACTGAATTTGCGTTTATAAAATCTGTGATCACCATGAAATATTTAGCGAATAATTATTTATGAACTCTCTCTCTCTCTCTCTCACTCACTCTTTTGTGCTATCGCTATTCAGTACATGGGTGATCACAGTTCTCCACAGCTTCCCATCTAATTAATGACGCTGGATAAAAAGGAACAGCATAGATTCCTAATTACAATGAACTCAACGGCTGAACAATAACACTGCCCCATATATAAAACGAAGCCAACCTGAAATAATACTTCAGACTGGAAGCCAGCCAAAGTCAAATTCGGTATGCAAACGACTTTTGACCTCTGCCTTTGTCCCTAACCTTTGCACTCATTTCGGCTTAACAACGTCTGTACTTTCTAAAGTTTGAAAACTATACGTGAATTTATGAATAGATTTCAAATCTCAAAATAGGACATTTCAAATTTTTCCGAGCTTATTTCGTCCAAAGTAACTTAGACAATGGATGTTATTTTTCAAATAGAAAATGAAACATGAACAATGTATATGAATTAACCTCAGCTTGCGGTTCTTTAAACAAATTTTCTCATTAAATATTATATTGTTATTTATCTATTTATTTATTTAAATATGCATTTATATGCTCTCAACAGATGCCTGCTTGTGAGCGCTGGACAGTAAGCGGTAGCAATCTCCTCAAATCTCCAGCACTTTACACAGTATCCTCACGATCCCAGATTGTACGGTCTCATCTGATCTCTATTCCAGTGTTTTATCTACAGTTTCAAGTAATCCTACTATTACGAGTACAGCAATAACATTTCTTAGCTCTCGAGCAAGTCATGGTATTTCTGTAATTTATCACGAACCGTCAGATTCACTCTGGGGTACGATGGCACAGAGATGTCTACTATGTGACAGATTCTTTCTTTCTTATTTTTGATCGTTAGAGTTGATCGTCAAAGACAAAGAGAGTTCGAAAAATAGCACGAATTCATTGGATAAACAAAAGATAGTAAGTTGTAGAGGCCGCCGTGATAGGAGAGAGGGAAAGAAATCAGTTTCTCTTGCTTGGTTTGGGTGTTATTTCTGGTGCTCGATATCTCCAAATAATTAGTGATTTTGTTCTTCACTACAGTCTACGTGATCAAAACCAAATCATTTGCACAGTTCTCAGGGAATTATTGTCACCACCCTATCATATTTGCTTTTGTATTCATTCTTTAGTCAGCTTGCTGGATTCCCTTTATTCTTTTTCATCTTCTTCCACAGAAGTTGTATTTCCTTTTTCTTCGGAGTTTTCTCAGTCTTCGCTTTAACGCCGTTTGTTCAGATGTGATAACGGGGATTTCTGTTTCTCTTTTGAGGTTTCCTCTGCGTAATGTCTCTATCCTTGATTTTTCGATATTGTCTATCTGCCTATTGAGGTTTCCGTGCAATTTTTTCTTTTCCCATTTTTTTTCGCGTTCTTCTCTTCTTCCTTGTTTGTCGATTTAAAATGTTCACACCTATTCGGGCACTTTAACTATTTCGTGCATTGATGCAAGTATTGATCCAGTTCCATTTTGGCTATATTGTCCGCAGTCTTTGATGCCAACATATCCCATCTGTCTCGTCTTTGATATGTAAAGCTTTGATTATGGCTATGGATTTCTTTGTCCGCCAAATCATTTGGACTGAAAGCCTCTTTAGTCCCACCTAAGAATGTTCTTGTTTGATTCAATATAGTACTTACTGTCTAGATTTTAATTCCTTTTATCGAGTTTTTGCTATTTGGTATTATTACGTTTTGCCACTTTAAATTCCTTGGTCAACATAGGGCCCTAGTGTATCGTTGCGGTTTCTGTAATTGTTGTGATACCGTAACATACCTACAACATGGACTCTTCCAGGACTATATAAAGTATGCGATATAACACTCTAGGAGAAGAGGAAAGAGAGAGAGAGAGAGAGAGAGAGAGAGTATTCTAAATACCGTAGTATGAGCCGCGTACGACTACCAATATTGGACACTAGCACATAGTAAGCTCCGCTTACACTTACACTATCTTTGTAACCTTTTTGTTTAATATATCTTTCTGAACTCTAATCCGTGTGCCGTGTTTTCCTTCCGTGGTCCCAACTTTGGGCCCACATCAGTAATAAAACAGTTTTTAAGTAGGTTGTTAACTTACTGCACAACCCCCAACCCTGGAAGATCAGGTTTTGAATTCAAAGTGATCTCTTCTAGACCAATTGCCATCCAAGGCTATAGAACCCAGTCTGTCCTACTATACCTTTCCCATATCTATTAGCTCGTAAGTGAAGGCAATAGATTCGACTGGAATTCGAACTCGGCTCTCCGATTCCTCAATCCGAGCAACGTGGTTTAATTTCAAGTATTTCTCTTATTATTCTAAAATAATCATGTCTTGTTTTTTGTTTAATTTCACTCTGCTTTACCGAGTCACATTCATACACCCCGTTGCATTCTGTTATGGTCCGGTTCCTTGTACCACGGTGATAGTCCAAGGTAGAACCAATAAAGATGAACTCGAACACAGGTATGGAATAACACAGATATGTTACAAACAAGAATATATACAGAGAAGTAGAAGTGTTAGTACGAACAATCAGGTTTAGTAGGGAGAACAATGTAGTCTCGACCAGTATCACTAT